CTTGGGTATCCTCTGAGCTCTGTCATGGTGTGCCTTTGTCACTGTCTGCCAGGGGATGCCCAGGCCCCAGTGAGGCCTGGGGGTAGGAGAGGCACGGCAGCTGCGGGGCACCCTCAGCCAGTAGGGGGCAGGAGCAGATGGACAAGCTTAAAACAACATGGCTCCTAAGAAGACACCAGCTTGGGACTCCACACCACCTCTCCTCACCGGCTTTGCTTTCCCTTCCGCTCAGACAGGCTGCAAATGCCATGTTGAGGAATGTCAATTTTGTCCTGTGGACAGAGTAAGTCAGCACTTTGCCTAGATTAAAACAACCAGGACAGCACTCTGCTGAGCACTAGCCTTTAGGCGTGATCCTGGGCTGGGGAGAACCACTCCGCATGACCTTGGCCTGCTACTGAGGCTTCTGCCGGTCAGCAGGGCTGACCCCTTCCTGGACATGGCCATCACCTAGCATTCAAAGGCAGTGTAGGGAAATGTAGTATCCTTCCTGTCAAAGATATTCAGGCAGGCCTGCTGGGTCACACAGTGACAACTGCAACTGACCACGGAAGGGTCACACTGGGATGTGAAGAGAGGCGCTGGAAAGGGAGAAAACAATTATTAAAAAAAAGGAATACGAAAGAAACATGGGTGGGAGGGAAGAGGTCACAATGATCTATTTCTGAGCAGTTCTTCAGGAAACAAGAACATCGGAACAGAGTGGAAGACATCCTGGACAGAAGGGGCAGCTCTCCCCAGTCTCCCAGGAGCACAATGGAGACCTAAGAGGGCTTTGCTGCCAACCGTGAGAAAGCAAGAGTGATGTGGAGGGGTCTGTCCCACAGCAGTGGGAGAGGCAGGCGGGACTGGGGGAGGATCGGAGGTGGGAGGAGCCCTGGGAGGGCCCCAGGGGAGCACTCTTATCAGCAGGCAACGGGAAGTATTTGGGAAGCAGCCTCAGAAACCCATCTCCCGCCCCACCCTGGATTTGGCCATTTCCGGTCCTGTGCTATAATTACTCTTTCTGGCTCCCAAGGCTTCAGTAAAAGCCTGCAAACAGAGACTCTCTGTCAACAGTCTGGGGGGTAGCGAGGTGAAAGAGAAGAAGAGGTGCTGCCAGCCTGGGGAGAGGGGCAGTGAGGAAGGGAGGGAGGCCAGAACTGGGGCTGTGGAGTGTGCACAGGTGTGTGCAGGCGTGACCACAAAGCTGAACATGTTTTACTTGGAGCCTGCTTTAACACAGGTGAACTGAGGACATCATAAAATCTGTTTTTTTCCTGATGTAATTTTCTGAACAGATACTGCATATAATAATGGTTCAAAAAACAGAGTATCAAATGGTAGCAGAGAGAATCTCCCCACACTCCCTCCTCGACACACCTATTTCCCACAGGCAACCAATCTCTCAAAGAATATTTTAAAATTCGACGAGAAAAATACATGTCAAAATCGTGTTCCAATTTGCATAGTGATGCATGTTATGTGGATTACCGCAAGATACTTTTCTCACTTAACTGGCTACAGATCTTTGCCTATCAGCCCAGAAGAAAAGTCTCATGCTGTCTCATGATATCCCTTTAAAGAAAGGTACCAGAATTCATTCAAGCAGCTCTGAGCTGAGAGGTCTAGGTTGTTTTTAAACTTTTGCTGCTATTAGAAAAACAATGATGTGAATAAGATATGATACAGGTTAAGTATCTTCGTTCAAAAATCTGAAATTTACAATGATCCAAAACACAAAGCTTTTTGGCTTTTGGCTTTTCAGATTGGTCTATGCAAATATTTCGATATCCAACAAACAAAACCCTTTCAAATCTGAAATAATCTTGATCCCAAGCTTCAATCTGTATATTCTCAACTGGCTTTCATTATATGAAGGCCACAGATGATATTTCCCCAGTAAAATGTAAGTGACAGTTACTATGGCAAACCATAGCGACTTAAAAAGGATGTCCTGTTGAAAACGTTGTTGTCACGCAGAATTTGATTTGGTGGGATATATTGGTAGAAAAGTTTAGTTGTTATTGTTAGTAACAGCTTTGTAATTTCAAAAACAGAACATGTAAAGACTTAGTGACTTCTGGAACTCATTGATTTAGGATGGCCATGACCAAGAGTGTTTGCTTAAAAAAGTAAGGGTGGTCAGGACAGAATGAGGTTCTGCGATCAGCAGATTTACAAGTCAGTGAACTGGAATTAGGAAGCACTGTGTGGACTCCTCACTCTGCTGCTGCTGTAGATAAACTACAGAGGGGAACTTCTGCTCTGTGATCCTGGCAATGTTGTTCTGAGAACAAAGTGGGAAATAATTTCACATACGTGAAATCTGCGGGTGAACTTTGAAGGCTTGAACCAATGTTGAGTCCTACTGCTAGTCTTATATTTTTTACTATGCCATTGTTGAAGGTCAGCACATAATCCACCATGGAATAAATTCTAAAATACATTTTATATAAGAAATTACACTGCACGTAACTATTTTAATTAAATGTACCAAATAGATATCATAATGTTTTTAAAAACCAATTAAAGAGAATCAGAAAGGAAACAGATTGCTATTGACTAATCACCCCAATTTCTTTTTTCATTTTTTTTAGACTTTCCATCTCTCCATCTCATTTACAGTTATTAAAGTGAAGTTCACTGCTAACAACTTTGAGTGACAATAAATATGGAAACCACTCAAATCTGGTAGTAATGCCATTTTTGCCAATCAGCACTGTTAATGTTCTTGGATTCACTGATAACATAATCTCTCTGGATTCATTTGGAAATGATCAATAAAGCAAACGAGTGACTAACATTGGAGCACTCCGGAAACAGAACCATTGGTATGCTTGCATTTGAGAAATATTGAGACAACTACCCACTTCATTCATTAAAATCTTCAAGAACCATCATGACCAAAGCAGACAAGCACCCCGGGCTGTTCTCAGAAATCCATTCAAGTGTCCATTCTCTCATTTCTAGTCCCTGCATCCATGGCAACAGGCCACTGACCTGCCCCAAAGGGAGACAGAATCTCTGGCAAGACTGAGAGTTTTAATAATTCCACTTGTCAACATGGGTCAGACAGAAATGGATGGATTCCTACCAAGTTACTTAACAACCTACTAACAAAATGAGTAGTCACCAGCATATGACCAGATCCAGCACCCAGAGTACCCCTCAGGAACGTCAAGCATCACATCGTTAGAGTCCAAGAAAATCTGAATCACAGACACCAGGCTACCAAATTCTGTGCTCAGTTAGGACTTCTTCCCCCAATATTTTCCTTATTTACCCATTCCCTAAAAGGTAAAGGTGCAGTACTCTGCGGGGCTTATTCAAAGTGATTACTAATCTGGTTATTTTTTCTCCCAAATTTATTTTAATAAACAAATATGAAAGATCTATAGAAAAGGACATATTTTGCTACAAAAGTTTCCTGATGAGAAACTTTCTGGGAATATCAGTTTCTAGTGACAAAATTTCTCTCTTGATGAAGGTGAGGATCTAGAAGCAACAGGTCTGATACCCAGCATCTGCTCTCTTCTCCCTGACACCAGAGAGTTTGGGCTTTGCGTCTCCACCACACAGCCTGTCTCTTATAAGACTGCCTATGTGGTGGCCCTGCCTTCTGATTCAGAAACATAAACAGTGCTTCAGAGGTTTATTTCACAATTCATCTTCTGATTTGTCATGGTCTGCAAGGTCAGTTTCCAGATTTTCTATTCTAAATTAATTTTGAACAGATTTCCCAAACAGACTAAGAAATGGCTTTTGTCTGGATGGGAACAAATTCTGAATGTTAGGACTCAAGTCCCTTTTTCTATCTGTTCTGTCGAAACGTAAAACAACTGCCAATCCCACAAGTTCCTAAATCAATTATTTGTAAGAGAATGCACAGGTGCAGTGGAGATGCAGAGTTATAAAAAGAAAATGGCAAATTATTTTTTCATGGGCCAGCTGCTCAATCGATGTGATCCTGGGGAACATTCTTCTTAGCTCTGAAGCTCAATTAGTAAATCAATTAACCCCATCCCCTTCCCTGCCACCAGGACCAAGCTGCCACCCTTCACCCTCTGTCTCCATCTCAGGATGGAGACATCCTGCCCAGTTAGTCAGCCTGAGGTGCCCATGCTTTCCAAAAGCCTTCATCGACAAGGGTCCTGTTTCAGTTTAATTAAGATTTAGCAATCAGCAGAAGCAAAGCACCTCGCTCTGCTCCCACTTATTGATCTCTGTCCCCTTGGTTCTTGCTTGCCTTAGAAGTGGGGCTCAGTACAGACTCAGTGGGGACTGATGATGTGGCTGGCTGTCACTTTCTTTCAGTGGGAAGGACATATGACCAGGCAAAGCAGACGGTTCCTGAAGGGGCACTTACTAAAAATCTGCTTAGCAAACTGTGGCAGAGCCTTTCCAGAAGACAGCAACTTACTGGAGAGGAAAATCAGATCTCCTTCACCATATCGTGCCATGACACACTCACCATGCACACTCACCTACTTCAGAGTTTGTGTATCTTTTGCTTCATCTAGGGCAAAGGGCAGCCTGTCTTTCTAAGCATTGCAGAGAAAGCCATTGTTGCTAATGCTCCCAAATCTGTCAGTGAAATCATTGTCTAAGATGGGCCACCTTCAGTAGGCATCTAATCTGTGGATAAGAGGCTAGCTGGGTGGAACTGGAGATGGGTCCAGTGACACTTCAAACGGCAATTAAAACACATTTCACCATTAAACACTCAAGAGAGTTTTCTCTCAAACTCCAGGTCAATTCATAAATGATTATTTGTTGACTGACTTTATAGGCTTGTGCAAATCACATACCATTTTGTAGCCTTTGTAGTTCCTCATGTGTAAAATGAGGATGTTGAACTCATTTCTAAGGTTCCTTTGGAGACTCAAAGGACTCTATAGGTTGATAGTGGGGGATAGGACACCTTCAGCATTTTGGCAAATCACATCCACCACTAACCTCCTCCTTACTCAGCACCAGCTGAAAACAGACAGGCTGCTGCCCTCAGGCACACGGCTCACCTTCTCCACTGACGTGTGCTCTTCGTTTGTGACGTTTGTTTTCCTTGACTCGTTTTTAGACCTGCTCAGCCTTCTGGATACTTTTTCTCGGAGTAAAGTGGCATATCCAATGTGTTCATAGATGGGGTTCGTTGTCATTTTTGAAATGTATTCAGCAGCTTTTGTTTCTATGTACAACGTTATCAAGCCATCTGTCACCAGATCGTGAATGGATTCAAATCTCTTTTCGCCCACAAAGTGTTTCCCATCATGGAAGAGCCGGTAGTTTAAGGTCTGGTTTCCAAACCTGCCCACAAGAGATCGACGGATTACAAGAGATTAGAATCAAAATGGCGAGGACCAGATAACAGTTCGGAACACATGTCATATGTCAGGCATGGGGTGGACAATTATCAGAGAGACCCTTTGTGATGGGTACAGTTATTACTGAGGCTTGAAGAGTTGGGGATATCAGTCAGAGGTCATATATCCGGAATGAGACAGAGATGGGACTTAACCCCAGGCAGTCACTTAGAATCACTGGGTCCTATAAACCACTCAGGTCAGTGGGTCATAGCATTATTTACAAACGTCAGAGGATATGCATGATTTACAAATATCTTACCTATAAACTTTCTTAATGGGAACGAGCAATCACCATTGCAAGACCCTAATGCCCCTGATTACATCAGTGGAGCACCCCATTCCTGCCATCCCAGTTAGTGCAGCAGAGAGATACATCAGAACTGTGCCAGAACCACCACCACCTGCCTCCAGCAATGTCCCCAACTGTCCTCTCCTCCTATCCCTGGCTCTCCCAGTGGACTCTGACCTGAATCACAGCCTTGCCTGGCTCCTCCCTGGGACTGCCAGCTTCTGCCACTGGGGAGCTGGGAAGATAGAACTTTGGATACTTAGAGTACTCAATAGCTTTGGAAGTACTTCTTCATCATTACCTCAGTTAAGATATATCTTAGACATTGCCAGTTGCAACTTGGAAAGTTTCTTTCCAAGGCCATAATACTGAAATGCTGCACCTTTCTGATCTGGGTGGCTGGGAAGTGTTTCCCCCACTCCCATCCCTCCTATGGAGAAAGGCCTTCCTGCTACCAGAATCTATAAATGAACTTTTGGAAGACAATCTGATTCTGAAACTGGATACTGCCCCAAACCTAAATAGGATTGTGGAAGTAATTAAATGGCACAAAATTCCTGATCAAAGTATGGAAAATGCAAAGGATGCAATGTTTTTCTTCCAGCAGGGAGGCTGAGGCAGGAGGATCACAAGATCAAGTTCAGCTAGGGTAACTTAGTGACTTAGTAAGACCCTGACTCAAAATAAAGAGTTAAAACACAGTGGAGGATGTAGCTTAGTGTGAAGGCCCTCAGTTCACTCTTCATTAACAAAACAAACAACAAACGAAAGCCTTTCCATACTTGTGCATGACTGTGACAGGCTCTGGAGAAACCTGTTGGGCAGGTGCATGGGCGAAGTCCTATCCTCCCAGCACCCCAGCTACAGAAGCTGAAAGGTGACCACCATCATGAGGAGCTGCCTCTGAGAGAACACGATGGGCAAGCAATGCCCAGCAGGTCTTAGCAGATGTTCCCATCCAGACAAGGGGAGGGACTGCTGCTCAAAAGTGCTGCTGGGAACCGGGGCATGACTGTCAGGTAGCTCCATAGTCAGGCAGAAGCAGCGGAGGGAATGCCAACTGCCCAGTTAATTCTCCAGTGTGCCCTGTATCCACAATCACAGCCCGTGTCTGATGACCTAAGAACACCAGTGGCCAAGGAGATGCACCTCAGGCTATGTGCTGCTGAAGCTTTGAAAAAACAAAAAAGTGGAAGTAGAATAAACAGCATGGAGGGAGTGATTGTCTATGGGGGCTAAGTTTCTGCTTGAGATAGTGAGAAAGTTCTGGAAAGGGATAGTGGAGATGGTTGTGCAACATAGAAATACTAATTTCATTATATACATATATGCACACATATATTACCATAAATGGGGTACGCATAAGTAAAGCCATGAAAACAGTGAATGAATTGCACGCACCTCAGAGCTAATGTGTAGCATCCTGGCTGCCGCTGGCTTTCTCGAAGGATATAGGCGCCCTCCACGCCTCCCAGGAGCTCATCCGCCTGCTCCCGCGAGATGATCCCATGAAACCTGGGGAAACAACATCGTCACAGACCACATACAAGGTAGGACCTCAGAAACTAGGACGAAAAGGATGGGGGGGCGCCCCGAATCTACAGCCCCACCTGGGTGAAGGGGGCGTGGCTACTGCACACCTTACACACTGACTTGGAACCGGTGTGCTCTAAACAGAGGGATGTCCGCAGAGGCAAACAGGCAGACCCCAGGCCACCTGGTTCTCTGCTACTGTCTTTGCTCTCAAGCTGCAAAGGGAAGTCAAAACAAAAAGCTCCCATTATGGCTTCTTTTATAACCGTGGAGAAAAACAAAAGAGCAATTACCAATTTAGCTCTCAGCTGAAACACAGATAACTATGTATTATCCTGATTGCAAATGAACACTTATTGATTAGAGACCTGCTTGCTTCAGGTGCGGGGTGTTAATTTTAGAGGCTCATCTTCTGCAAAGAAGAGCTGGCACTAATCAACCTCTCCCCAACCCTTTACATTTTGAGAACAATGGCTTAGCGACATGTTTGGAAAAGGTACCTATTTTTCTTTGTTACAGATAACATTTATATTCATTTATCTTCACAAGTAATACATAAGCATGTAGGAAACGGGGCATATTTGGGAGGGTTTCGGGCTTGGTCAAAGATTGCTTTGACCTTCCAAGGGAGGCTGTCTCAGGTCTAGAGAATGAACAGTGATCAGGGAGGACAAGGAAAAGATATGAGTTGGGTCAGGTCCCACCTACGCTCCTTGTTCCCTGTAAGCCAGGATGGCTGCTCACCACCGTTATTAGAGATTTATCCACCTGTGTTTTTAGAGCAAGATGGGTTGGGGATGGGCGTGAGGCCAGTGGAGGGACTCCAACTCCCTGAGAAAAGGGACACTACTTCTTTTTAGGAGACTAAGTCAGAGAAGGAAAAGGAAGGGAGAAAGGAAAGCCAACCAGACAAGTTTTGTTTTCTTCTCCTGCAGGAGTACAACAAATAAGTTACAGGACAAATACAGAAAGTCTATATTTGGGAAAAAAATAGCCTAGTAAAGTGTATATGTCTTAAGTCCCTCTATCTTTTAAAAGCAGTATTTTTCTGAAATGAAGATGCATGTGCAGAGACACGAGGGATGTTCATGCCCCAAAGGAGAGCAGTGTCCCCAGTGTTTGAGGGAGGGAGACGCAGAGGGATCTGGCAGAATGTACTCATTGCTCGAGTTGGCCCCACAAGCATGTATGGGACTGGAGCTGGCAGGTCAGGCACAGGGCTAGTGAGCAGAGGTCTGGAGCTTTGCTTGGGGCTAAAGACACTGAGCTCTGCAAACCCTGTGGAGAAGCCTCATGTTTGGCAGGTGCTGGGCAGAGAGGGCTGGAGAGAGAGCCTGGACAAGAGACCTGAGGACGGCTTGCACCCATATGTGTCAGGGCGTCAGGATGACAGGAGGGGCAGGGGGGCGCTGGAATGTTTTCCACACAAGAGCCAAGAAGCACAAAAGCTGGTGTCAGAAGAGGTGCGAGAAGGGGCTGTTTAGGACACTCCTGGCTGGTGAGGCAGGGGTGCGTGAGCAGAGGGATGAGGCAGGTCACTAGATCTAGTTAGTACCTGCCCCGGGACACTGCTGGGGAGAAATCCAGGAGAAAGGGAAAGAAGAGTGTCCCAAACAGGCGGTCACTGTGAAAGCAGCTGAATGTGAACTCCCTTGAACTGTCAAGTTCATTTCAAACTGTCAGTGGCAGACAGCGTCAAGAACTAAGCTAACTCCAGATGTTCAAAAGAAGAAAGTGACAATTTTGTGTACCTGAAGACCCAGTCTGTGCTCATCACCACCTTTATGGATGGTTTTAAAAACTCTGAGTGTATATATATATATATATATATATATATATATATATATATATATGATAAACCAGATAGAAAGAGATACAGGGAAAAGAGTGATGCTGGTTCTTTCCTGTTTCACGGTGGGGAGCTTTGGGTATTTTCCTGTATTTTTTATTTTTCCTAAGTTAGCAGGTATTCATACTATTCCTATGTAAACTTTTTGAAAAAAAGTAATGCCTGTGCACATTGGGAAAATTCAAAATTCAAATGTTAAAAATACAAAAGAAATTGCCAGCAGTACAGAAGTAAAAATTGTCTTTGCCTAAAGGAATGCACTGTCCACAGTTTCTTCTGTTCAAGTTTCACTGTCCACACTTCCCTAGAAATGTGCCTGTGTCTTTTCTAAACAGAGCGTGTATTACTTCATGAGTGGAAGAGAAAAGCCCTTTAAAAAAAATTCTGAAGGTTTTACGCTAATTCTTCTCTACAAAATGTTCATTTTAGTAGTTAAGAAAAATGTTTCCTCGGATTCTACTCTGTACATATTCTGCATGAACCAGGGGTCAGAATATGAGGACTAAATGGCATGTAAGCAAACTGTCATGCAGAAAAGAACATGCACAATAAATAGAGTAGCTTTGGAATTCATGTTCAAATCTGTATGGGGCAGGTTTTCATTTTCTTTTCTTTTCTTTTTTATTAATTGTGCTATTTGCAAGCAAAACTTGCATCAGTACACTGAGAAAGAAAAACTATACCACAGCATGGGATAAGGCATTAGGGACATGGGGTAGATCAGAGAAGAGCTGGCATTCCTGGGCAGGTGTTCCAGAGGGACCAGCTGCATTCCCAGAACCTGGCATGGAGGTTCTGAAATGCAGCTACAGCAATTAGAAGGAACCCTGGGCTGGGAGCACTAAACATGTCATTAATTGCAAAGATGAAGCTTTGATGGGCCACAAAATAGGTGGATAAAGGTGTTGAATTGGCTGGGACAGCCTGGGAGGTGGCCTTGCAAGAGGCTTTGCTGCTATTGCTGCTTCTAGGTCAGAGATGGGAAGAAAAGGGACTTGGAAATCTTATTTTGGACAACTCCACCTCTCTCTCTCTCTCTCTCTCTAAGGTGTTATACATATCACAGTTAAGTTGCAAATTGTTTTTATGGTCAAGAAAGTTTCTAGGTTTCTGAGAAACAGTGGTTGGAATTGAGAGAGACAGAAAGAGAGAGAGGAGAGAGAGAGAAAGAGAGAGAGAGAGAGAGAGAGAGAGAGAGAGAGAGAGAGAGACAGAGAGACAGAGACATCTGAGGGAAGGAGAATAATTACGGTAATTATAGTATTAAGCCAATTTGGCTAACATATACAAGTCAGGAAAAATCAACATTTTGGTTTATGAGACTGCAGGAAAGTAAGATGTCTTTCCTCCTTTCCTGACTACCATATTCACAAAGTACAGGAGGGTCAGGAACTCAGGTAGCATGCACGGCTTCGACACTGATAAGGTTTAATTATATCAAGGTAGAGAGTGGAATTAAATGCTAACAGAGAGTCTCAATTATGCAAAATACCATCTTACATTTCAAATGCTCGCCAGGCACTCAGAAGCTGCTTCTGTGGGAAGCATTGTGGCAAGAAACACTTTCCCTCCCACCTTAATGGAAAACAAGCACCTGAACATTATAAAGAAAATCCAATACAAAGGAGTCTGATTGCATTTATTCTTATCATTAAACTCTCGCACAATGGACATGTGATGAACACCGTATTTTAGGGAATTTTGAATATTTAATATTTAAATGACATATGAAGTGACTATTTATTAAATTATTAAAATAAAGATAGTACAATACATACTCTCTTCCATAATATTTTGGTCTGTTTTCCACCTATATCAAAAAGAAGAAAAGTATTAATAATGCATTTGAATTCAAATCAGCTAGATCAAAATGCTATTTAAACAAACAGAGCTGGAGTCCCAGAAGTAATTTTATTACAGATTTCATTCTCCAAATCAGAAATCCATGAAACTATGAAGTTAATCAACACATTCTACTGTCTTGAGTAGGAATGATCTAGACTTATTTCATTTCTCTGCTCATTAGGCTCATTTTCCACCTAAACTCAATCAGCCAATAAAAGAATTTTCAGGGGACACAAAGTGATGCTTATTTTAATATTAAGAACAAAACAAATACTTCCAGCATGAATAAAATATAAGCATTGGTTTCAGTCTTCATCTGATTGTTTCATTACGCATTTATCTCAAAAACTGAGCAGTACACTTGGATTAAAACATGAAACCAGCTTAATTTGGCCTCTTTCCAAATAAAATCAATACTATTTTTAAACAAATGACTAATAGACTGAAATTCATTTGATATCAGCGGTAAGGATATGAAAGAAAAGACTTACGACTTTAAAAATCACAAAATTTCAAAAAAGACACTTCAATCAGAAGTTTAGCCTTGCGGTTATCTTTCTGATTTTAACATGCATATGGTCATCTACTTTCATAAGAATTTAGTTTCCTTTTGTTTGTAGTATTGGAATTGGTGAGAAATTAACATGAATTTTCATGTGTAGCTTTCTTTTCCCTACTTTAACTCTGGTACACTCAAAAGAGAATTGAGACACATTAAGATTTTTACTGATAGTTAAAGGTATGATAGCAACTTTATGTTTATTTATTGGAATGCAGTAGAAGCCTGGCAGCAATTCTGTCTGCTGTCGTCTCTGTCTATAGCTAAATGGGTTGTTTTCTCTTTAGGGTTCACAGACAGACATAGTTGTGGGTTTCAAGGCACTGGCATTTTCCTGGTCTACCTTTACGCTCACAGGATGCAGGGTTCTAAGATTACATAGGTGTTACGGACCAGAGAAAAAGCTCAAAGAGATGCTTGGGCTGAGAGGGCCACATTCACAATCCTGTCTAGGACAAGCCTTGCTGGCACAAGACTAATCATCTAGACACTTACAAGTATGTGTTCACTCTTCTGTGCATTTTCACACCTGAAAGCACTCAACCAAGAGAGGCGTTCATAATTCTTAATCTTCCAGGTTTAAAGCCTGCTCAATGTCTTCGTGAAGGAAGATTTAAATAATATCATTAACAGAAGCACAAAGTGTGCAAAAGGCGCCTTATTACCTGATATCTTTTCTCTAAGTAATGTGTTCCGTTACTCTGCATACCAGTAAGCTTTTTAATGAGTTGAGCATTTTGATATTTATATTTTTCTACTGGCTTTCAAAGTTCTTTGTTTTGTACTGTTGACATGCAGTTTCAACACCAATGTATGCCTGAGAAGCAATTTAACACTAGAAGACACAAAGGAAGTACATAATATTTAATGACAAGATCCCTCCCCTTTCTTGAAGACCCAGCATTCCAAAATTTGAAATGATTTCTTTTATAGAAGGACAATTGTTTATTCCCACCTCTTTGGGTAGGCCATTACACTGGTCTGTAAAATCTAGATGTAGCTCCCAGCCTTTCTTTTTCTATCTTATATTTTTCTCCAAAACAGGAAGAGTAATTCGTCTAGCTTCGCAGGTAGACAGTATGGTACATGGTGCCTGCTGCTAACTCGTGGAGTGCAGGTTATAGGTGATTAATAAATGTTGAACTTAATTGACTTTTAAGAAGACAACAAATTGCTTTACGTTCACCCATCAATCATAAAAATATAGAGCACACCTATTGGATTCCTGGCTCTATACTCAGTCCTGTAATATGATCATAGAATAATGGCCTTAAAGGGCCAGGAAGGACATCTCTGAGGAGCTCAGGACATTCTGTGCTTGCAACAGGAAAAAAGATACATAAGAATAAGCCCATCAGATGCCCCAAAGTAGGAAGGTCAATATTTATGGTATCCTGAAGGCTACCAAATACAATCCTATCCAGAGGAGACTGATCCAATTGAGGGACAAACTTCTTGTGTAAAGAAAACCACTAGAAAATAAAACAATAGGCCTGAATGTGGAACAGAGCGTACCCAGAATAGGACCATGGAAGAGGCCCTAAATATTGTAAGACACAGTACTGATGTATCATTTTCCATTTATCTGAAACCACATAATTAACTACAGACTCCTGGTTTTCCTTTTCAGCTAGATTGGGCAGCTCTACATAGGAGGAGAGGACAAATGGAGATAAGGGGAAGAAGACAGAGGATATGGTCAGAGATCTGACTACTGACAGAGGCTGCTTTGGCCTCAAGTTGATTCAACCTCTTTTTCCTTTGTTGTCTCTGTTGCTCTCATAGAAAATGCAGCTGATTTTGGTACTAATAAAGAAAGAAAGAATGGCTGCCAGAAAAACACAACCCGAACCAAACACTTTTTCCTTTTATAAACTTTTTGCTCACTGGAATCCAGACACAGTCTCTATCTCTACTCTTACCTAAGCTTTAAACCAATCAAGAGCTTAATTTTCAAATTAAATGACATGAAAAAAATCATAAGACATCCACATTTCTTCAAGTTGGATAATAAATGGACCTAGAGGTAGATAAAGCCCAGATGACTAGGTGTCAGGGCTCCAAGGGACAAAGTATCTCCCTGGAGGGACTAGGAACCACCATATTGCGACCCATCTGTGCCTTATAGAGCTTAAGCCACTCCCTCCCCAGGCAGAGCTCTGTGTCAGCCAGCCACGAGATTCAAGTCCACCTGTGAGACATGGAGCTATTTTATCACAGAAGCTGTAGCACTGAAGTTTAGTTTTCAATGAGATTCCCTTCAGTGAATGTGACTGAGACACAGGACTTCTGATAAATAAAAACTAGGGCACTCAGATAGCTTCCCCACTGAGTTATTAGAATTTGGCAAATTGATCAAATAATAGAGGAAGACTTTAGATGGTCACATGGATGCAAGGAGGGTTAGAAAATGTAACATGTATGAAAGTTGTTTCTGGAGTTTTCTAGCCTCTGTGAATATCCTAGGACAGTAGTAGGGGCCTCCTTGGTGACCCTGACCATTGTGAATAAGATTCAGAGATGTTGGCTCTGCTTGCCTGCTCTGGAGAATTAGTGCTTCACCTCCAAGAAGTGAAAGAAATCCATCTTTTTTTTAAGAAAAAGGAAAATGAAATAATTTGTAGACAAATTACAAGATCCTCTAATACTGGCTCCACCTGGCTCAGAAAGTAACATCCTTACTGATAGGACAAGACCAAGCGCCGGATCATTTGAACGAGCACACACATGAAATGGACCTATCCGGAGACCTAGGTGGACCTGGCATACATGAGACATCCATGCAGACTTGTCGACTCACGCTTCTTTCAATGTAACAACATTTTATTCTAAGTAAACATCATCTATAGAAGCCTAGTCCCCGAAGTGCACAATACATGCTACTGTTAATGCAGACACTATTGAAATTCCTCTTTTTAGAACTGCCTGCTTTACAGCTGCATTTCTCAAAGTATGGTTCAATTATTCAAAATGGAAACCTCAGAGTGCTTGTTAAAGAACATAGATTCCTGATTCTCACCTTGGACCACTTGAGCCAAATTACTGAGAATAGGCTAGGATGTGACGTGCTATCTAATCTAGCCTCCCTTGATGATACTAAAGCACATTCTAAAGTCAAAATCTCTGCTTGGTTTTTGAGGATGAATGTTATTAGGCAAAGAGGCATCATTACTGAGCCAAATCAGTAGACTGGGTAAGTGATCAAAGTAGGAAATATATTTAAAGCTAAAAGGAGGCATAGTCACAAGATTTCCACTGTGACTTCTGAGGGTATTTTAGAAGAGACATTTCTAAAATGCTCTGGACAATATGAATTTGCAAATGGAAGCAAAGCTCTCCAAGATGACTTGTGGAAAAGGGTTAGGGTCATGTAATATACAGTTAGACCTCCATATCCTCATGTTCCATATCTGCACACCCAACCAACTACAGATCGAAGTATTTCACAAAATTCAACAGAATTCCAAAGAGCAAGACTTGAATTTGCTATGCTGAACCCATATGGAGTGAAGTGAGGCAAAGAGATATTAGGTAATATAAGTTATCTAGATGTAATATAAAGTATAGAGTGTGTATACATTCTAGGCAAAGACTGCACTATTTCACAAAGGAGACTTCAGTATCTGCAGATTTGAGTATTTGTGGGGGATTTTGGACCCCAGGCCCTGTACATACTAACTTATAGAAATATGTAATTTGTTAAACTGTATGTATATAGGTACTAAAAAAAGATCTGTTTCATGACTTTATAGTCACATCTCCGGTATAATTAAGTTGCCAGCACTGTGACTGCTGAAGATGGCCTTGGTCCTGACCAATCTTTGCCATTACATATACTGTATCCTTACATATGTGAAGCCAATTTAAATGGCACAGCTTCCAGCTACCAGCTGGAATATTCCATATTCATTTTTAGAGCACCCCAAAAAATTCATTTTCCAAGTATTAGTATAGTTCTCTTAAATAACTTACTAGTAACATAATCAGAATTGCTGCATAAGGGATGATCAAAGCTGCACGGAATGTTTAAATTAAAAAATGTAAAAAAAAGTAATAAGAACTAAGGAGTAATAAAACCCAAAATGTGTAAATTTTGTTGTAAAAAAGAGAGAGAAAAAAAGTGCTCTAAAGGATACAACTGCAAGTGTGTTTAGGGGTGTTAAATAGCTGACCACATTAATGTTTTTGGTTGGATCACTGAACACAACTGTTTGCAGTCTCACTGTTTGAATGTCCACTTTGTATGCTTTGATACTGTGACTTGAGCAACTATCTCTAAGATGATAATGTGTAATCTATTAAATGGTGATTTCTTACTTTTTTTTTGTAGTCTGTATTACTTGTACCCTTACACCACTTTGTTTTGTTTTGTTTTTTCTCTTTTTCCTTTTAAATAAAATTTTAAA